AGCCCAGGCTGGTCTCAAACTCCCAACAATTCTCCTGCCTCAACCTCCCGAGTGCTGGGATTACAGGCGTGCACCACCACACCCGGCTGTTCTAAAGTTTTTTAGGAACTGCGGTACTATTCTCCAGAGTGGCCACACCGTATCACACTCCCCACAACATGCACAATGGGTCGAATATCCCCAGTCAACCCTCTCTAGCTCCTTGTCATTTTTTTTTTTTAAATTTTGAGACAGAGTTGCTCTGGCTGAGGTTAAACTTGAGATCTTCCTGCTTCAGCCTCTCAAGTGCTGGAATCACAGGTGTGTACCACCATGCCCAGCTCAAGCAGTCCTCCACCCCAGGCTCTTGAGTAGCTAGGATTACAGCCATGCAGCACTAGCCCTGGATTTGCTGTTTTCTCCCTCCCACCCTCCCTCCCTCCCTCCTTCCCTCCCTTCCTTCTTTCCTTCCTTCCTTCTTTCCTTCCTTCTTTCCTTCCTCTTTCTTTTTCCTTTCTTTTTCTTTCTTTCTTTCTTTTTTGACAGTTTTGCTATGTAGTTCAGGCTGGTTTGATACTTTTTAAAATTATCTTTTCCTTTCAGGTATACAACACCCCGTTTCACATGTTTCTGGTGATAATTGTTGTTTTGTTGGAAGCTCCTTTTGCCTGGTAAGTGTGGTGAAGAACCTTTCATTTTTCACTCTACTCTGAATACAACTCAGTGTGAATAGACAGAAGGACCTGCAAGCTGGTGCCACTGTGATCTGGGTGGTGTCACTGCCCCAGGGCTCGGAAGAGGACCTGAGAGAGGGAAGGAGCTTGGAGCGATTTCCAGATCGTCTGCCTGCCAAACTCCGAACCTGTCTTCCCTGCTTCGTCCTGCTCCTTCTCCTCTTCCTCCCACCTGTGGCACTAGGGCTTGAACCTGGGGCTTTGCACTGAGCTATATTCCCAGTCTTTCTGGTTTTTTATTTTTAGGCAAGATCTTAATAAGTGCCCAGGCTGGGCTAGAACTTGTGATCCTCCTGCTTCAGCCCCCTGAGCAGCTGGGAATATAGATGTGTGTCACCACTGCAGGCTTGCTTCCTTTTTTTGCCTGTTATGAACAAAACTGTACCAAGTACCCAAGAGTTTTGTAGAACTCCAATGCCCACAGTGTAGTTCAGAGTGGCCACGTGATATATGCATTGGCCAATCCCTTTTCAAGATGTGAAGAGCCCCGGGGGATCCAATTCTAGACACTGGAGTAAATAACACAGATAGCAAGGCCAGCCATGGTTGTGCACGCTAATAGCCCCAGGACACCAGAGCCTGAGGCAGGGGGATCACTGTGAGTTGGGCCCCCCACCCCGCAGGCTACACACTAGAGAGTCGGAGGCCAGCCTGAACTACATAGCGAAACCCTGTACTATTCTCAAAAAAGAAAAAAAAAAAAGGAAAGAAAAAAAAGAAAAAGAAACAAAAAGACAGCAATACAGGAAATACAGGGCTAGTGCTGCATGGCTGCAGTCCCAGCTGCTCAGGAGGCTGAGGCAGGAGGATTGCTTGAGCCTGGCAGTTTGGGGATGTAGTATACTGTGCTGATTGTGGATCCATGGTAAATTTAGCATCTGTGCGGTAACTTCCTGGGAGCAAAGGGCCATCAAGCTGCCTAAGGAGAGACAAACCTGCTCAGATAGGAAGCAGAACAGATCAAAGCACCTGAGCTGCAGGGGTGTAGCACAGAAGCACTAGATTCAGTCTCTAGCACCAAAAAAAAAAAAAAAGAATAAAAAGGAAAAAACCTTCCTGTAGAGGTGTTGCCAGGCAGGATGGTGTCACAAAAACGTAGTATTTGTTTTAAGTAACAATAGAAAAAAGAAAACGTGAAGAAAAAGAGATGTGCAAAGTAGAAAAGTCAAGTTAAGTCTTGCATACAGGATGGGCCAGTCCCAGAACAGGAAGATGGCCGCGGACCTGAAGTCGCAGTTGCCGTCTTTTATGTATACTCTGATTCGTTCCATCAGAAGTCATTCTGCACATGAACCCTGGCAGTGATTTGACAGTGTTGTGTGACTGACAGTTCATGGCCAGTTTGCCCAGCCACTGTTGCAGTTTTTTTTTTTTTTTTTTTGTTTTGTTTTGTTTTGTTTTGTTTTTCTCCGGTACCAGGAACCGAACTCACGACCTTGCGCTTGCCAGGCAGGCGCTTTTGCCGCTGAGCTAAATCCCCAGCCCAAGTT